CCAGAGAGAGAGATATCATTCCCCCGGTACAAATCATTAGTAATACCTCATCTGGAATATGCAGTTCAATTTTGGGCACCAATTCACAAAAAGAACATTGGGGAACTGGAGAAAGTACAGAGAAGGGCAACCAAACTGATAAGAGGCATGGAGGAGATCAGCTATGAGGAAAGATTAGAGGAACTGAATGTATTCTCTCTTGAGAAGAGGATATTAAGGGGGGATATGATCACCATGTATAATACATAAGGGGGGGATATGATCACCATGTATAATACATAAGGGGGATATGATCTCCATGTATAATACATAAGGGGGGGATATGATCTCCATGTATAATACATAAGGGGGGGATATGATCTCCATGTATAATACATAAGGGGGGGATATGATCTGCATGTATAATACATAAGGGGGGATATGATCTCCATGTATAATACATAAGGGGGGATATGATCACCATGTATAATACATAAGGGGGGATATGATCTCCATGTATAATACATAAGGGGGGATATGATCACCATGTATAATACATAAGGGGGGATATGATCTCCATGTATAATACATAAGGGGGGGATATGATCACCATGTATAATAAATAAGGGGGGATATGATCTCCATGTATAATACATAAGGGGGGATATGATCACCATGTATAATACATAAGGGGGGGATATGATCTCCATTTATAATACATAAGGGGGGATATGATCTCCATGTATAATACATAAGGGGGGTAATGATCACCATGTATAATACATAAGGGGGGATATGATCACCATGTATAATACATAAGGGAGGATATGATCTCCATGTATAATACATAAGGGGGGATATGATCTCCATGTATAATACATAAGGGGGGATATGATCACCATGTATAACACATAAGGGGGATATGATCTCCATGTATAATACATAAGGGGGATATGATCACCATGTATAATACATAAGGGGGATATGATCACACCATGTATAATACATAAGGGGAGATATGATCTCCATGTATAATACATAAGGGGGGATATGATCTCCATGTATAATACATAAGGGGGGGGATATGATCTCCATGTATAATACATAAGGGGGGATATGATGCCCATGTATAATACATAAGGGGGATACGATCTCCATGTATAATACATAAGGGGGGATATGATCTCCATGTATAATACATAAGAGGGGATATGATCTCCATGTATAATACATAAGGGGGGGATATGATCTCCATGTATAATACATACGGGCATACGGGGGGGATATGATCTCCATGTATAATACATAAGGGGGGATATGATCTCCATGTATAATACATAAGGGGGATATGATCAACATGTATAAATACATCAGTGGTTCATATAGTGAACTCGGTGTAGAGTTATTCACCATGAGGTCATCACAGAGGATAAGGGGGCACTCTTTACGTCTGGAGGAAAAGAAATGTAATCTCCAAACATGGAAAGGTTTCTTCACAGTGAGAGCTTTGAAAATGTGGAATAGACTCCCTCAAGAGTTGGTTCTGGCCAGCTCAGTGGATTGCTTCAAAAAAGTCCTGGATTCTTTCTTAGATACACAGAATATAACTGGATATAACATTTATAGGTGAAGTTGATCCAGGGAATATCTGATTGCCTCTCGGGGGATCAGGAAGGAATTTTTTCCCCTGAAGGAGCAAAGTGGATCATGCTTTGCTGGGTTTTTTTTGCCTTCCTCTGGATCAACTGTGGGTATAGGATTCTAACTTTTTTTTTTCTATGGTTGAACTGGATGGACTTTTGGCGTTTTTCAGCCAGACTAACTATGTAACTATGTAATTATATGCCTAATTTGGCCCTGTAAATACCACACTACCACGTCACAATCACAAACCGTGCTTGTGGTTGCAGGGTCTGTTGTTCTCATGCCAATTACAAAAAAGCTAAAATATTAATAAATTTGGAGGCTACATCCACCTTTAAAAAAAACAATAAACTTTATTTATTCATTTATAAAACTGATTTTTTTTTTTTTGGTCAGTAGCTATTAACCCTATCCAACTGCACTGAAAATGCTAATCAAGATGCATGTCAATGCCCACAAGAAATGCACACTGACACATGACAACACACTAGCCTAACACTAAAGTAAACTGCAACTCCATCACACACATACAGTTATGGCCAAAAATATCGTCCCCCCTGCATTTCTGCCAAATATTGCACCACTTCACCCAGAAATGTGTTGCAATCACAAATGTTTAGGCATTCTCAGGTTTATTCCTTTTGTTTGTATTAGTATGACACAAAAAAATGGAGAAACAAAGAGTCAAATCTGACACAGTCCACACAAAACCCCAAAAATGAACTGGACAAAATTATTGGCATTCCAAATTTGTGATGCTCCTGTAATTTGTAATTAAACACCCTGTATCAATTAACAGGTGCTGACAATATAGAAATCACACCGGCAACCAGGTAAAATGGTGAAAAATGGTGAAAAATTGACTCAACTTTTCTGTTGTGTCTCTGTGTGCCACATGGAGCATGGAGAAGAGAAAGAGCAGCAAAGAAATGTCTGAGGATTTGAGGACAAAAATTGTGGAAAAGTATGGACAATCTCAAGGTTACAAGTCCATCTCCAGAGATCCTAATGTTCCTGTGTCCACTGTGCGTAACATTGTCAAGAAGTTTACAGCCCATGGCACTAATGAAAGAGAGATCTCAGCGCACTAATGGCTAATGTCCATATTTCCAATAAAGTCTATGGCCAATAACCGCTTCAGATAGCAGCCATCTCAGAGTAAGCCAGCTCTGTATGCAAAGGAAAGGGAAAAAGAGAGGTGCCTTTTACATACTGCACTCAGAAGGTGCCTCTCTTTTTCCTTTTCCAGCCCATGGCACTGTAGCTAATCTCCCTGGACATAGACGAAAGAGAAAAATTGATCAAAAATTGCAACAAAGATTTGTTTGAATGGTGGCTAAAGAATCTCGATCAACTTCCAAACAAATTCAAGCTGACCTTCAGGCCCAGGGTACAACTGCATCAGTTCGCACTATACATCACCATCTGAATGAAAAGGAATGCTATGGTAAGAGATCCAGGAGGACCCCACTGTTGATGCAGAAACATGAAGCAGAAAGATTGGATTTTGCCGAAACTTACCCGGGGAAGCCAAAATCCATTTGGAAGAATGTGCTGTGGACAGACGAAACAAAATTCCAGCTTATGAGTAAAGCCCATCATTCTACTGTATTCAGAAAAAGAAATGAGGCCTTTAAAGAAAAGAATACAGTACCTACAGTCAAACATGGTGGGGGGTCACTGATGTTTTGGGGTTGCTTTGCTGATACAGGCACTGGATGTCTTGACCGTGTGCATGGCATTATGAAATCTGAAGACTACTCAATCTCATAGAGCTCCTGTGGAGAGATCTCCCCTAGAGCTCCTGTAGAGAAATCTCAAAACAGCAGTTGGGAACCCTTCCAATCTGAGAGACCTGGAGCAGTTGGTGAAAGAAGAGTGCTTCAAAATTCCAGCAGAGAGGTGGAAGAAACTCACTGATGGCTACAGGAAGCCATTGATTTCAGATATTTTTTCCAAGGGGTGTGCTACCAAATATTAAATTGAGGGTGCCCATAATTTTGTCCACTTCATTTTTGGAGTGTTTGGAATGTGTAAGATTTGGCTTTTTGTTTCTCCACCTTGTTTTGTCACACCAATACGAAAAAAGTGAAATAAACATGAGAATGCCTAAACATTTGTAATTGCAACAACTTTCTGGACGCAGTGGTGCATTATCTGACAGAAATCAGGGGTGCCAACATGTTTGGCCATGACTGTACATCTAAATGGATCTTAAAGATACTGCAGGCATATTTTTTTTATTTTTTTATTTTTTTGCTGCACAAAACTTGATTTGGGGTGAAGGGGCCCTTTTGCAGGCCATAGATGGGCCGTTTATCGGCCGAATTGTCGGGAGTTGCCGACGCTGCCACCAATGTCCACAAAAAATGGCCTTTTTTTGTGGATTTTCCAGCATGACTGATAAAAATAAAGGAGAAGGTCCGCGGAAAAATGGCGGACGGGCTGGCCCCACTAACGGCATGAATATCAGCCGATTCTTTCGAAAATTCGGCCGATAAACGACCTGCCTATGGCCTGCATTACTTCCACACAGCAGAGATTGTACAGAAGACCAGCCTTCAGTGCTGAGGGTGACAGAGCCATCCATCAGCCAGTATTTAACCAGACAGCTGATGTTGTGATTATCACACCCCATACACTTCCCATATCAGTGTTCTAGTTTGTAACTTGTTAGCTCTGTTTGTGTTCCATTGTTTGTGTTCAGATGTCTTTTCTTTGGTAATGTGTGTGCTGTTGGCATGTTAGTGCTAATTACCTGTAAGAGGATAAGTGTCGCCCAAGGCTTTAGCACCCTGTCTCTGTCCATTTCCACAGCCTGCCATCAGATGGACACTAATCTCTCCCTATTAGCACATCACCCCTGGACACAATGACTGGGAATTGCTCATTAAGGAGCCCACTGACACCTTCACCTAACCCTGCCCAGCTCCACTCTATCATCCTCCAGGACAGACCCTCCACATACCCCATAATGGCCTAAGACTGGCCAGATCTACAGGATATGGAAGAAATGCCACACCAATGGTCAGAGAGCCCAAAGCGATGTTTTATTACATGGAAAATAAAAAGAAAGCTAATGTGTTTTGAGAGTTCAGACTCTCCTTTTTGGTCTTCAATACAGGTAAAAATATTATAAAGGTTCAAATTGAATATAAAAGGCATTCTGTAAAAGATCTGCAACAATGCTTCCCAAGCGAGCAATACTCCCCTCCGAGGAGGGGGCCACAGGAACAATCTGGAGGGGGGGAGGGGGCTGTAATTAGGTGCCACTGGGGAGCACTGAATGAAAAAAAAAGAGGGGTGGATTCAAAAGAAAGCAAACAACATTTTGAAAAAACCATTGTAACATAGAGTTAAAGTGATTGTAAAGGTAGAAGGCTTTTATTTACCTTAAAGTGCTACTAAACCCCGGACCCTGCATTCACTATGTCTGGTCTCCCCGGACCCTGCATTCACTATGTCTGGTCTCCCCGGACCCTGCATTCACTATGTCTGGTCTCCCTGGACCCTGCATTCACTATATCTGGTCTCCCCGGACCCTGCATTCACTATATCTGGTATCCCCAGACCCTTCATTCACTATGTCTGGTCTCCCCGGACCCTGCATTCACTATGTCTGGTCTCCCCGGACCCTGCATTCACTATGTCTGGTTTCCCACAGTACATAGAACATGGAAATGCAGTTATTTTAGTAAATATAAACTGTTAAATACCTTTTCTCATCAGTAGTATATAGCAGTCTTGTGACTTCTATTAGTGTCCAGAAGAACACTGGTTAAAGCTTGCAGGAGGAGTTTTAATTCTCCCCTGATTGTCCTATGAGGCTGCATGACCCTTGACCCTCTGTCTGGACAGTGCTGATTGGCCCCGTGCTGATCACATGCACTCTCCCAAGAAAAAATAAAAACTCTCTAGTAATAAACACCAAACTGAGCATGTGCAGCTTGCCCCCAAGGCTTTGTTCTATCAGCAGATGGACTAGGGACTGTGAAAGAAGGGGGAAAATCAGAGAAGTCAGGATCAAACAGCCTTTTTACACAATGCAGAGGATTAACCCCTTAGGTTCCACAGTGAGTATAACAAGCATGCTTTACTGCATATACAGACTGATTTTACTGCTGTGGGTCAAGTAAGTTAATTAATTATCTGCATTAAGGTAACCCCCCCATACTTAGCTTAGCCCTCAATCCAGTGATGTTCGCAAGACCAGTGGCTCTCTCAACTCTTTCCCTCCTCATTGGCTCAGAGACTGCAGTGCAGAACTTTTATTTATAGCAATGGCCAAAATAAAATAATAATCTGGACCAGTGGTCTCCAAACTGCAGCCCGGGGGCCAGACGTGGCCCTTGCTGGCATTTATCCGGCCTCGGAGCAAGTTTCCTCCCACTGATATGACACTATTCCTTTCCTCCCACCAACAACATAATTACTGCTTCTGACATCAAGAATAAGGCACTATTTCTCCCATTGACACCGATAGGGCACTATTCCTCCCACTGACACCAATGATGGGGCACTATTCCTCCCACTGAGACCAACGATAGGGCACTATTCCTCCCACTGACACCAATGATGGGGCACTATTCCTCCCACTGACACCAATGATGGGGCACTATTCCTCCCACTGAGACCAACGATAGGGCACTATTCCTCCCACTGACACCAATGATGGGGCACTATTCCTCCCACTGAGACCAACGATGGGGCACTATTCCTCCCACTGACACCAACGATGGGGCACTATTCCTCCCACTGACACCGATGATGGGGCACTATTCCTCCCACTGACACCGATGATGGGACACTATTCCTCCCACTGACACCAATGATGGGGCACTATTCCTCCCACTGACACCGATGATGGGGCACTATTCCTCCCACTGACACCAATGATGGGGCACTATTCCTCCCACTGACACCGATGATGGGGCACTATTCCTCCCACTAACACCAACGATGGGGCACTATTCCTCCCACTGACACCAATGATGGGGCACTATTCCTCCCACTGAGACCAACGATAGGGCACTATTCCTCCCACTGACACCAACGATGGGGCACTATTCCTCCCACTGACACCGATGATGGGGCACTATTCCTCCCACTGGCACCGATGATGGGGCACTATTCCTCCCACTGACACCAATGATGGGGCACTATTCCTCCCACTGACACCGATGATGGGGCACTATTCCTCCCACTGACACCAATGATGGGGCACTATTCCTCCCACTGACACCAATGATGGGGCACTATTCCTCCCACTGACACCGATGATGGGGCACTATTCCTCCCACTAACACCAACGATGGGGCACTATTCCTCCCACTGACACCAATGATGGGGCACTATTCCTCTCACTGACACCAAAGATCAAGAAAGGGCTTAGGTGGGTATTAGGGGGGACTGCTGCACAGATGCACAGAAAAGGTTTTTTACCTTCATGCATAAAATGCAAGAAGGTAAAAACCTTGAGCTTTTACAGCCACTTTAAAGCGTATTAAACCCAATACCAAAAGTGTAATATATTGCAGCTTACCAATCCTTAGATTTGGTGGCTGCATTAGTTTTCTTTTTGGCTTTTTTTCCATCTGTCTTCATATGGTGACCTGATCCTGTATTAGAGTGCCTCCACTCTGAATGAAGGAACACAGGGTGCACCTTTGAAAAGCAGCAATGTCAGTCTGGGGGAGGGGAGTGTTAGATGTACTAGCAGATTTAGATTCACTAGCAAACTGAAGCCAAATTCCACCTAATACTTTATAATAAGTTTCAGCGAGGTTTTACATAAATGAGTAAAAGCTGATCATTGTAAGCATCTCTGTCAGTGTTAAATGGGTTGTCTCCAAGGGCGGACTGATAACTCATAGGGCTCCCAGGCAATAGGAAATCATGGAGCCCCTGTGTCCTCGCCCACACTCAAACCATGCCCAAAAAAGTCTATGAAAGGTACCAGGGGCATCTCATGGGCCCCCTACTGACTACGGGCCCTCGTGCAGTGCCTGAGTGCCTAAATGGTCACTCCGCCTCTGGATGTCTCATCCCTCTAACTGCTACAACAGAATTACTGAAAGGATCACCCAGTAAAAACTAAAGACAGAAACCTCAAAAAAGAAAACAACATTCAAAAAAGAAAACAAATGCAGCCATCATATCTAAAGATTGGTAAGCTGCAATATAATAAATGTTTGCTTTTGGGTTTAATACCGTTTTAAAGCAGAGCACCACCCAAAAGGGGAAGTTATGCTTTAAGACTTCATCCCCTCTTAAGGGCTGGCACCTTTGGGTCCTCCCTCCTTCCCCATAGACTTCTAGGACACGTGACATTACAAAGTGCAGTGCTAGTCGCGCATGCGCAGTGAGCACCCGGCTGTGAAGCTGCAAGCTGTCACAGCCGGGTGCCCACATTGAAGATGCCAGCTCCGGGAACCCGGCCTGTATGAGGACGCCGAGGAATCAAGGGACAGGTGAGTGTCTATTTTTTAAAAGTCAGCAGCTACAGTTTTTGTTCTGCTGACTTTCATTTTTTTTTTATGTTCACTGGGCCTCCGCTTTAAGCTGGCCATACACTGGTAGATTTTCAAATGAATGTTCGTACAAAAAAAAAAAATCTCATCAGTATATTTGATAATGCCATCAGAGACTTGAGAGATGCCATTCAAAAGTACTTCAAAATGTTGTTGATCTTAACATCTGATTTCAGTATGAATGTCATTTCCCAAGCAAAAGAATTTACATTTGACCCTACTTACCATTAGCAAATCAAACGAACACCCAAAAAAAATTCTGAAAAATTTACAAATGTAATTCTATTAGTATATTACCAGATTTAGTCTTCTTTGGATGGCCAAAACAGACATATGAAAATATCTTCTCATTTATTCCAAAAAACTGGAATTTCATAACAGAAAACTATGCTGAGAAGAATATAGGGCTCCCATTTTAAATAAATCAGCACAGGGGATGGTACTTACATTCAGTAAGAAGTGTTCCTTGTGCTGCTGGCTGCTGTTTTAGTTGAATCCAAAGTCCTCTGCCCAACATTCCCTCCCCCCACAGCCATAATTTTGTGGTGCTGTGGGGGTTAGAATGATCAGCTGGGCCCATCACAGGCACTTGTCAATGGTGATGACATTTCCCACCCTGTCTGCCCCCTGCTTCTTTCCTACCAGCTGTTATATAGCTTCCACCAATGAAAAGTGATCTATGAATGGAGGCTTGAGAGCTTTCATTCATCTTTCCATCCTCCTTTCATTGATTGCATGTCATTGATGAAACCTATACTTCAGCATTTTTTGATCACAATTGTTTAAGAGAGAGGGGGGAGAAGGCAGGGAGAAGAAATGCTATGAACGGGTGAGGGTTTGCTTTAAGGAGCAGATTATTATGTACCAAAAGACATGGGTGGTGTCAGAAGATCTTGCAATAGATTTGGCCATTCATGGCACAAAAGATTTTCAATAGGGAAGAGCCTAAGGGCTTCACTCCTCTAGAAGTTCAAAATACACATTCCTTTAAGTGCAACCCTGTACAGAGTCCCACTTTATAGCTGAATGTTTTATCCAAAATGTTCCAAAGTATTAGTACTCAGATAAACCACTGTGTAGCCAAACAGCTTTGGGTCCCCTATGCATCTCCGTTGTTCTCACATGGTCTCCTATGGCTGTGGTTATGCCCTCGGTTGTCTATAAACGTTACCCATACACATTTCGTACAGGTTTGCACTTAAAGTGGACCTTCACTGTCCTTGTATTCTGGGCCTTCCCTTTAACACATTTGAAAATTATTTTTTTGGGGAAGTGGGTTGGGGATAGCAAGTGCCATAAGGCTTCCTTATTCCTCGACTATGCAAGGATGGTGTTTGATCGTACGTCACACATCTCAGAAGGCTTCAGGACCTTCACTCTCCTTGTATTCCGAGCCCTCTGTCACGTACCTTGGTTGGAGGACAAACTGATGAGAAGGCTTCCTTTGCAACTCTGGTCCGAGCACCCCTGAAGATGATGACAGAGGTACCAGGCTCAAAGAAGCATGGGTGTCAGTAGCTTGGTAGCAGGTAACTGACAGGGTCAGAGACGTAGTCAGGATGAGTCAGGGTCATACCTGATGAGGCAGAAGAGTGGTCAGATAGCATGCCGGGGTCAATACCAAAGAAGAAGGCAGAGTGAGGTCCAGTAACGGGCCAAGGTCAGAACCAGAAAAGCAGGCAGAGAATAGTCAGAGGCATGCCGAGGTCGGTATCCAAATCCACAGAGCAAGGTCAGGAAATAGCCGGGTCAGGAACGGGGAGATCAGTCAGCATAAGCAGGAACTGGGCTTTTGTTAGAAACCACAGAGCCCTATACAGGAAACCTGACAGTCTCCCTCCTCCAAAAAATAAAAAAACACAGTTTACAAGGCTTCACTTATGAATAAACACAGATAATGACTGGTACCAATCACTCATTGTGTTCATTTGGGAAAGGAAGGGGCTGGCAAATGTGATTTATTTACCAGACCCTTCCCCCACTCTCCATTCTGAAAGATCCTATTATGTGCTGGTAGCTGCTGGTGGAAGGAGAGAATGGAAGACGGGAAAACAGTCG